AAGAAGCTACTAGGGGCTGCTGGCCGTACTACTAGGAACAAGAAGCTACTAGGAGCAAAGGGCATCGCTACTAGGAATCCATGGGCCTGGGGATCCGCCGGGCTCTTCCAAGGGGGCTCTAACAACTAGTTCGACACCTGCCTCGTAGATGCAGCGAGCACATCCCTCTCTCCATATTTGCAAACCCTGCCAGCTTTTTGTCACGTGTGTTCTCAACATGTCGGATCAATATATTTGATGTTCAACAACTCAACCAATGAGTTTGAAACCCTGGCGTCACTTCAGTGTATACCTTAATCCTCAGTTGGACCTCATGTTGGGGCCAGGGCCATTGGGGATTCATTCGGAAGCATTCGGATCTGTCAAAGCCAAAGCAATCAACAGGGTGAGTTCATGTGAGTTCCTAGCTTGTTTGGCTAGTGGTTGTAAGTGGGCCAACGTTTTTGACCCACCTGATAGCTTGAAAGACATCTTCTGACGTGTAATCCTTTCTGGATGGTTGCTGTACTGAAAACTAAAAGGTGGACGCAGATGGACTAGGTTCAGCGTGATGTCCGGAAAGTGATTGGAGACAGGGTCGACCGACACGGTCAATTGGACTTGTACCACTCAGACCGACCCAATCAGGGGGTTGGGGGGTTGCTCCCAAGCTGTGTGAGTACAGACTTGTCCTTTGGACAAGCTCATTGCCCCCCATTCTTCTCTAAGAGGCCCCCTCCTCTCTCTCTCTCTCTCTCTCCCTCCCTCCTGGATCTGGCTCATGATTCACGGGTTCACCATATCGCAGCAGAGCACCGAGGTGATGATGAAGGGTGCCTTCATGGCATTTCCACACAGAGGCTCTGAGAAAGAAGAAGGTGCCTGACTCTGGTGGTGTGAACCAAAAACTGCTGACGGTCAGTGGATGTGAAGATGATGTGGAGGTGAATGAATGACTGTGATTACTTGCTTAGCAAGCGATGTCCAGCGCTTTCTCACACAGTGTAGGTGTTCAATAGCAGGTGCTGTACAAAGGTGCTTCACCAGTTTATCATCCGCCGGGCTGTTCGTCGGTGGGTGGTGAATCATTTCACCTGTCTCACTCGGTGCTCTCTCAGTTGAAGCTTTCCGAGTCGGTGCTCCACACAGGGAAGAGAGAGGAACCTTCGCTCTTCACCACTGGTGTTTCAACACTGGTGTTGTTTCGGCATGAGATGACATGGGGGAACCTCCAAGCCCCAGGTTGAGAAAGTCAGACACTTGAGAGAAGCAGCCCACAGTGAGGCACCAGTCCAAAAGAAACAGCAAAACCCAGATGTGATCAATTTCCCGTCTGACGACCTTTGGTTTAAGAAGGTTCAGCAATGTTTAGCAGCCTGGAAAAGGGGTCTGATTTGTGTGGTCACAGCGAAAAACCTCAGACCATCTCAGACCTCTGACATCCTGTGACACAGCAAAGAAGAACATGCAGAGATCAGTGGTTGGAACATTCGAACCTGTTGTTTACCCGGCCGAGAAATGAGACAGTTGGTCCGAGGCTCATTTTCCATCCCAATGGCAATAAGGATGCCAGTCGGAGCCCTGGGCACACCGCGCGTGTGAGCAAATATACTGGACATGGGTTCTTTCATTTTTTCGGGCACACCTCATGTGTATACATTGGGTCTGTCCTATTACCTGTAACAGTAAACAACATTATATACTATTTTTGAACAAGGCCTGCAACCTAACCATCATCCACTGGGCCCAGGTCATGGGATAGACCCAAGATAGATACATTACAAATCATTAAAACTACAAATACTATACATTGCCTTTGGAGTTGAACTCAGTTCAGCATGCCAGATGTCATGTGCGTTTCCAGTTGTTCCAATATATTGTAGAGATCTACATAGTATGATATAGCCAGTTAGATAGATCATAGATTTATATTATCGTCATGGTCCTGTCAAGTCAAGTCAGGACATACGGCACTTGTTTTCAAGGCAAGGAGAGGTAGAATCACAGGTTCGAGATACAACATGGTGCTTGGTCATCAGAGGTACACACGGCACATCACGGCACAGCGGAACCTGTTTGGAGGATTTTGGAGGTGCAAGGCAACGTCGTTGTTGACACGCCCTGATTTCTCATCACGGAACTGGATGGCATGATCATCATGGCCCGAAAGGATGACCAGCCATTCCAAATACCAAACAGGTGGTGTTTTCTGCTTCCGTAGGTTGGTAGTGTATATTATAGGCAGTGTAGGAAGGTTTCCACCGAGCTTCCAACACATATTTCAGGCAGTGTAGGTTGGTTTCGTTACTGTACTTACGCTCAGCCAGAAAGACCTGCTTACTTGTATATTTGGTCGGTAAAGGCGGGCGGGAGGGATGAACGACTGCTGCAGTGATGCACAAATGTTGACACGAGAGCATACATGAATCGAGGCCACCACGACAGTTGAAAGCCACTGCCCAATCTTAGATGTCATCCAACAAACCACGAATGCACATTGAATGCACTACATAATATGCTAAAAAATGAGGCGTCCATGGGTCATTTCCAGGCCTGTTATTTTCCCCCTTTTTGTTCGAACGATCCACCCCTTGAGGCCCCAGTCCCCTGCCTGAGGCGATGGCTTTTGCTCCATCGCGCTGCGGATTCCGGAGAAGATGTCGGTCTCGCGTGTGGGGTGGCCCCGCAAAGAGCGAAGGAAGGGCAAAATACAACAAACATCAACAAACCAATTTATTTTCTGTATCTTTTTGTGTCATTGTTGAGCCGTCCTTGAAAAAAGCAAATCAAAATCTAATTAGTCCACATTTGGTTGATGATTGTGACACCAAAAGGATCAAAGAGGGCTTGTTGTAGGCAAATCATCGTGAAGTGAGATCAAGAATCCACCTTCGATTCAAGTGGCTTAATTTGTTTGGTATCTCGAGAATTCCTAGTGACAAGTGATGAAGTCATGCTGGGTCGGCTCTCTTTTTGTTCTGCGTCTATATTTGTTTCAATTATGAGAAGGCGAGTTGCGGTCATCAGTCACACGTTTGATAAAACAACTGCAAGTGCAACAATGGGTGCAAAAAGGACTTGTCACAGCTTGAATGTAGTTTCATAAGCTTGGCCAAACGGTAGATTCACCCCAAAAAGGGTATAAGGTCATCACGTACTGTCATGTAGAATCTTGTTTCTTGCCGCATATTCCAGAAAGTGGTCCAGGGATGCTGAAGAACTTCGGGAGCCACTCCGAGACGCTCATGCAGTCGGACCCTGACCCCAACAGGTTGTCGCATGGTAACTTTTTCTGCCCTGCAGTCCCGCAGAGGAGTGATAAATGTTGATGGAGGCTGATGGCTGGATCAAAAAAGTGAGGTACAGAGTCTAGACTTCATTGTAGGTCAGAAGGCATGGTACATGCTTAGGTGTTCTTTAGATAGCCATCACTGAAGGTTGATCGTTGTCCCACAATCCTATGAAATTATGGCAAAGGCTTTATACTCCATATGAATCCTTTTGCACTGTCACTGCCAGCGCTTTTGAGGTTCTGTACATCAACCATGATCAGTTCGGCCCCAGCATCGTCAAGCAGGTCCGGTCCATTTATGGAATTGATGTGGCTGGCAAGGGTAGGAGCTGAGATGCTAGGTGAATGTCTAGGGTCTGGACTGGCAGTTGGTGTTGTAACGGCCCAACCAAGCTTCCTTGGCATGGCTTCGAGGCTAATGTAGTCAAGCCTTCGGCACGGCACCTGTTTGTTTGCCAAAATTGGTTGCTCCAAGTCCCAGGTTTAAAGCTAGAGTCCTAGTTCAAGCAAGCATCACGGGGGACAGTTACTTCCAGAATCCATTCTTTTATGTGGCGTGCGGCATAATCAGGTATGAATAAAATGTATTGTTTTTTTTTTTTTTTTTTTTTTTTTTTTTTCTGGGGGGGTATTATTGTATTATGCATTAGGATCAAACATGTTCTTGTTTCACGATAAATGTTTAGACAACAAGGACCAATACACAAATCATGGATGGATGGATGGAAGGAAGGATGGATGGATGGATGGATGGATGACGGACAGACGGATGGATGGATGGATGGATGACGGACAGACGGACGGATGGATGGATGACGGACAGACGGACGGATGGATGGATGACAGACAGACGGATGGACGGATGATGGGAAGGAAGGAAGGAAGGAAGGAAGGAAGGAAGGAAGGAAGGAAGGATATTTACTTAACCCTGGGTTGGAAGATAACCTTTCAAAACAACTCATGGGTCCGGAACAGACTTTTTAATTCTAGGATTGATTTGTTTTTAGCCCAAGGAGCCTTCTCCCACTTTTTTGCACCATGTGCACTTGTTTCTCACCCTACAATGTACCGTGCTAAGCCAGAAACTGTTTCTGAAACGTTCTTCAAGCCTTTTTGTTATCAGGTGAAGAAGCAACGTCAAAAAACTAGGGCGTCACATCACCTCCAAAATGGTCTTCAGAACTGTGCAGGGCTAGTTTCGGAACTGTGCGGTGGCAGAAGAATGCAGAAACTTACTGGTGTTATGGTGTGGCTTTAGTTCAGTGAGACGAGCACACACACACACAATTGCCAGCACAACCTAGACAGATTTGTTTCTTTGTGCTTTCCAGTGGTTGCAGCAAATTACTGTGATCAAAACCTATTTTCACCTAGAACGGCAACTCCATGTCATGGTTTGGTGGCCGGATAATTCAATTAAAACTTACTGCGATCGTGACTTGTCTAAAGAGCAAAACAGAAGCAAAACAAAGGCTCCTTCTTGTGTGCTGCTAATTGTGCTAGAAAGCATTGTCTTTCTGTGACCCGCCGGTTCTGCATGCTGCCGGGGGGAGGTGCTTGTGTGCAAAAAACCTTGGACCATTTTTTGGCAGTTGCACGCTCTTTCAACCCTGGTGAGTTAGTTTTGTTATGTTTTGCTTATTGATCTCAACAACTACAACATATTCAAAAAACACTGGGATTTCCCCAAGAATATTGTGTTAACATTCAGAGACGAAACAATCATTGGTCCCTTTACGACCTTCCACGCGTGCTTGCAGGGGTGGGAGGCACAATCAGAGCGACGTCGTCCTTTTACCCTTTTATAGCTATAAAATAACATAATCTAGCTGTGGAACTAGAATCGATCTGGTCTATATAATCGACGGGTAGTTCGTCGGGTTTATATATGTGGAATTTGTTGACTTCTTGTCCTATTTTCTCCATTCCTTCGATCTGCTTTGGCACTTTCACGCCAGGCAGTGGAGGGCTACACCAATGCGTGTCGCGCCAGGGATCCTGAATACCTGACAGTGCGACGTGAAGGGGTGAAGCAAGGCACAACTATTCTTAGGAATTGGTTTAAGGGAACGTTGAAAATGTTAATCTGCGCAAGGTGCATCTCTCCACCATTTTCCGGCCAACCGGTGAAAACCTCGACTGATGTCACTCAAACCTGAGGTCCTGACGCCGTCCTCCGCCATCCGCGGAACCGCCGCGGATATCCTGGTGCTGGGAGTGCTTGGTCCTCAGAACATCACGATGTGAGACCGTTGTGTCCTGTGAGGTGCGTTTTTGTTTGTGCCAGTGGTGTGTGAAACCAGAACACATATTCTTTGTCTCGCAAAGACTTTTCAATATCTCCAAATGCATGTTTACTTCACAGTGGCCCCTGAAAGCTCTCTATATTGAACTCTTCCATGCATGGAACGTAGTAGCATTGATGTCGTTGCCCATGTGATCTCAACGATGTTGGCTTTGGAATTCCGGTTCAACTTCTTGCTTCGCCTCCCAAAGGAGGTGTTTCAAGAACTGCAAAGAGTCTTTGATTGAGACGTCTTTTTGTTTTCTTGGTCCTGGGATTTAACAATTCGGTACAAGGATCTTGGTCCTTGGATGTTGTTGTTGTTGTTGTTGTTGTTGCAGTCAAACCGGACCGTAGGCCCTCGACCGATTGGACCAGTATCTCCCAATATGATTTTGCTATAAATCCTGAAATGTCCTACCTTCCCAAAGAAACGTGAAGAAGCTAAAACCCCTTACCAAAAGCATGTTGAACCACATTCTCAACATATCCCAGTGGATCCCCACGGTTTGCACATGCAAATTGAGCACAAGACCAAATAAATTCGCCCAGCAGCTTGGTCACCAGAGTACATGCCGGTCGAATCGCTCACCGGTCGAGTCCTTCGAGTCCTTCGCGCGGGACCAGAGGCGCGAGATCTATCAGCATGGCTGGGCGGCAGAGCCCATGTTGGAGTTTCTTGGACGGTGGCGGGGTTCGGTGGATGATGGTCGGCGTCGGGGGGATGACTCAGATTCCTCTATAGTTACGAATACAATACAAGTATAAAGTACAGTAATATGATAGAAATTGATAAACTATATTTATTAATATATATATATATCAAGTTTGCTAAGTCTGCTATGTTTGTTTGTAGGGGGAGAGTGAGTGCCACATTGACACTGTACATTTGAGCAGCATATTTGAGCTAAGTGCAGCA